GGGCGAGGGGGACGAACGACACGACGAACGACGAAAATAAAGGGTTCCGTGGCCCAGGGGGGCTACCCTGGGAAGCGTGGACAGGGGGGGGGGCGAGGGGGACGAATGACACGACGAACGACGAAAATAAAGATGTCCGAGCTCTAGAGCACAGCTGTGCAAGAGAATTAAAGTCTCTTGGGCCGTCGTGGAGCGTCAGGAAACTCAAAAGGCGAGAACTCGAAAACCGATCAAAAACCAAAGGAAAACAAATTAGTTGTGCCTCCTGGGGCTCCGTGGGAGCCATCTTTGAGACCTCTTGGGGCGTCTTGGGGGCCTCTTGGACAGTCAGGGACCAATTCTGGGGTGATCTCGGGCGGTCATTGGTCGTGTTCGTTGTCTGGAATCGCCATTTCTGGCAATTCAGGGCCGTCTTCTGGCGACTGTACAAGGCCCCCAGCGCCATGGCAGGGCCCCCGGGCCTCCCGGTGCGAGGGCCCCATCCCGGGCCCCACCTCGTGCCTGCGGCAGGGCGTCCCTGGGCCGTCTCGGCGCCCTCGTGGGCCGTCTCGGCGCCCTCGTGGGGTGTCTGAAATCCATCAAAAATCGAAGGACAATCAATGAATTTGGCGTCCCTTTGGGCCGTGTTGGGAGCCTTGTGGGCCGTCCGGAGGCCATCTTGGGCGTGTTCGAAAGATATGTCTTCGTTTCGGGGCCTCCTGGGGGCCTCTTGCGGCCCTTTTCGTCTGTGTTGGGGCTTTCTTGGGCCGTCTGGGGGCGGCCCTGGGCTGTCTCGGCGCCCTCTTGGAAGCCTGTTTGGGAAATTTCTGGGTGTCCTGGACCGTCCTCCTTCAACGTCGGCGGCACTGACCGTAAGACTTCCTGGGAACATGATTCGTTGGGGTGTCGTTGGGCGCCTCCGGAGGCTTCGGGGCCTGACGCGCTTCCGAGCGTGACGGCAGGTAGCGCTGCTTGGGACTCTCGTGTTTTTATCCTGGCAGGCGTTTAGTTTAGGGAACATGGTTTGGGGAGAAGGCGGCAACCCGAGAATCATGTTCCCGAGAAGCCTTCCGGGAACATGATTTGTTCGGCTCTCCTAACAGGGGGGCATCTGGGGGCTTACCGAGGGGCCCTTTTTGGCATTGTCGGCAAGCCTATTGGAAACATGGTTGGGGCGGTGGGCGGAAGCCAAAGGAATCATGTTCCCGGAAAGCTCTGGGAAATACGATTTAACGCGGTCTCTCAGGGCCCGCAAGGGGCTTCTCCCCGGGGCCCCTTGGGAACTCATTGGGGTTTCCGGGGGGCCTCTTGGGAGCCTCACGGGGCTTCTTGGGAGCCTCTTGACGGCCTCCGGGGGCGTCCTAGGAGCCTCTCAGGCTGGAGACCTGGCAATGTCGCGATCTTCGGGCCCTCTTGGGTCGCTCTTGGGGCTCTCTTGGGGCGCTCTCGAGGCCCTCTTGAATTATCTGGGGAGCCTCCTGGGCCGTCTCTGGTCTTTCTTGGGAGCCTCTTCGGCCGTCTTGGAGCGATCTGAACGGCCTCTGACGCCGTCAGGCACCATGGGGAGGCGGAACATGCGAGAGCGCAAAAATGCGGGGCCCTTTGGAGGGGCCTCTGGAGACGCTCTTGGGGCGTTTTGGCGGCGTCGTCGGCCGTCCTGAGGCCATCTTCGGCGTGTCCGGGGCCTCTTGAGGCTGTTTTGGCAATCTTTAGGGCCCTCTTGGCGTGTCGTAGCGTGTTTGGGAGCGGACCCGGGCAGTCCCGGGAGCGCTGGGGGCTGTTGAATGCTAGGTGTTGTCTTGGAGGCGGAGGCTGTTGAGTGCAGGGTGGCGCGTGCTACGCGGACGGCGGGCGAGCGGCCAGGCGGGCGGCGGGCGGGCGGGTGGCGGGCGGGTCGGGATTTGAATGAATTCCTTAAGGGTGCTTGCTCTCTTGCAGCGGGAGCTTGTTGAGCACAGGGTGTTGCCTTGAAGACGGGGGCTGTTGACTACAGGGTGTTGTCTTGGAGACTGACGCTGTTGAGTACAAAGTGGTGCGTGCTACGCGGACGGCGAACGGGCGGCGGGTGCCCTAGGTGGTGGGTCAGAGGCCTCATGGGTGTTGGTTTGGATCTCGTGGTTGGCCTGTCGGGAACGTCGTGAAGGCAGGTTCGCATCTTCTCGGTAACCGTTTTGAGACCGTTGTGGGGCCTCCTCGGGGCTGTTTTGTGGCCTTTTGAAGCCTCGTTTGGGCCTCCTGGGTGCCTCTCGGGGGCCTCCTGGGGCCTCTTGGGGGCTCCTTGGGGCCTCCTGGGGCACTCTTCAAGCGGGAGGGTCGAATTTTGGATTCGCGGTCCCTTCTTGGGCGCATCTTGGGGCCGTCTTGGGGCTCTCTTGGGCGCCTCTGGGGTCGTCTGGGGGCCCTCTTGGACCGTCTTTGGGCGCTCTTGGGGGCCTATGTCGGGCAGCCGAAAAAGCTAAATCTCTCCAAAACCTTCGTGAAATTAGCGATTTCGGCTACTTGAAGCGGTCTGGAGAGGCCAGAGCACTGGACCCAGGACCCCAGGAGGAGCCTCCAAAAGTCGAAGGGCGACAAGAACGTCGGCGGGAGGCAAAATGGGAAGTCGAAGGGGCGAGCGCGGTCCCGAGGGGCGACCGGGGCGGGGACGGCGTCGACGACGACGACGCCGACGACGGCGACACCGCCGACGACGGAGAATTCTCTCTGGGATCCGAGGGCCTCTGCGCTGGCCCGGGGCGGGAGGTGCCACCGCAGGAGGGCCACGGCGCGCATGGCGTCCAGGAGGCCGTTTTCTTGGACCGGCGGCGGCGGCGGTCCGAAGTGCGGCTCGTCCACACCGTCCGTTGTAAGGTTCCTCGGGGCTGTGTGGGAGCCTCTTGAAGCCTCGTTCGGGCCTCCTGGGTGCCTCTTGGGGGTCTCCTGGGGCCTCTTGGGGCCCCTTTGGGGCCTCCCGGGGCCCTGTGGAGGCGGGAGGCTCGAATTTCCGGTTCGCGGTTCCCCTCTTGAGCCCTCTTGGGACCGTCTTGGGCCTCTCTTCGCCCGTCTTGGGCGCGTCTTGGGCCGTCTTGGGGCCCTCCAGAGCCGTCTTGAGCCCCTCTTGGAGGCCTCTTGGGCTGTCTTGGGGCGCCCGCGGGGGGCCTGTGAGCCGTCGTGGAGCGTCGGTAAGCTGAAAAGGCTGGAAAGGCAAAATGTGTCCAAAACCTTCGTATAATGAACGATTTTGGCCTCTTGGGGCCCTCTGGGGGGGCCTCTTGGAGGCCTCTTGGAGCGTCTTGGGGGCCTCTTTGGCCGTCTTGGGCTTATCTTGGGCATCTTGGGGCCGTCTTGGCGCCCTCCTGGGCCTCTTGGAGCCTGCTGGGCCTGCCGTGGAGCGCTCTTGGGGCACTCTTGGGCCGCCTGGGCTGCTCCAGGGAGGCTCCAGCCCCCCCCGTCCCGCCATGGGGGGTGGAGGCACCTGTCCTGGGGCCCCCGGCCTCGCCCCCAGGGATATACATATATATATATACACACACACACATATCTATATATGTCTATATATGTGTGTATAGATTCATCTATTTTTGTAAGGCTGGGGACCCCAGAAAGGCCCCCCCCCTCCAACGAATTTGGCCCACCCTGGGCCTCTCGGGCAAACCTCCAGACGACTTGGGGGAACCCCACGAGAGCCCGCAGACGACCCCAGAGGACTTCAAGCGTTCCAGCGCGCCCCCGAAACGACCCTAGAGAGCCCCAAGACGGTCCACGACGACCCCAAAGAAGCCGTTATACCCCCAAAGATCGCTCCAAAACGTCCCAAGAGGCCTCCAAGAGCACTCCTGGGAAGGCCCCAAGAGGCAAATTTCATTGATTTTCTAGTGGTTATTGGTAAATTTGTGGGTCTTCCTCTTTTCGGCTTCCCGACGCTCAAGACGGCGGTCTTCTGGGCGTCCGAAGCCGAAAGAGCTTCCAGGCAGTCCAAGAGAGCTCCAAGACGGCACAACAGGGTTCCAAGATGGCCTAAGAGAGCCCCATGACGGCCCAAGGCGGCCCCACGACGCCCTCCGAAGCATTCCAAATCGTGACCCGGTCGTTCAGGGAGACTGCGGTTGGAGGCAGGGTGGCCCGAGGAAGCCCCCAGAAGACGCCCAGGAGGCCTTCAGAAGGCCTTAAGAAAGCAAGAAAAACTGTTGTGAGGCCCCCAGCGGCTCTCCAAGGAGGAGCCTCCGCAAAAAGAGCTGAGGAGGATGGGGAGAATAAGCAGGGGATGGCGGGAATGAGGGAAAAGAAACCTTGAGGAAAGATAACGAATGACATTATCATAACGGCGATGCCAGAACAGGCAACAAAGAGTTATCGCTGAATTGTCGGCTCGACCTTCCTGCCATTCCGCCTGCATACCAAACTTCAAGGACCAAGGTGCATGGCGCGAAGCGCCAATGCAGTCTTGTACATAGCTATGTACAAATACTGCATACTGCATCACATGTCTTGCACCACAAGAAGCTTGACCCACATAGCTCGCACCCCATGCCCCGGACACCTCCCACGAGCAGTACTTGCGCTGAGGGGCTCTGAACTACTGCTCGCACCCCACAGGTCGTCACCTCCCCCAAAACTACTGGCGCTTGGGGGTTCTTACTTGTGTGCTGCCTGGGTCGGGGATCTTCTAACCCGCGTCAATCCAGACCCGGGTCAGCAGGAAACCAACAAACTGCAATGCAGGAAAGAACAACTGCTCCCGACTGGGTACGCCGATGGGTTCGCCGGGGTGTTGCCCGCCGCCCACATGTGGTGCCGCCCGTGCGCCGGGCGGATCTGCCCGGGTTTCGCCAGGAGGAGGAGGAGGAGAAGGAGGAGGAGGAGGAGGAGGAGGAGGAGGAGGAGGAGGAGGAGGAGGAGAAGGAGGAGGAGGAGGAGGAGGCGGAGGCGAGGAGGCGGAGGAGGAGGAGGAGGAGGAGGTAGGAGGAGGAGGAGGAGGAGGAGGAGGAGGGAGGAGGAGGAGGAGGAGGAGCTGGCCAACCCTGGGGGAAGCGGCAGCGGTTCGGAGAACACCAATGCCGTCAGGAAATCAGGAGATCAGGAAGAGCCAAAGGAGGAGAAGAGGAGGGGGAGGAGTGAGGGAGCCGGGATGAGGAGGGGGCAGGGCAGGACGACGGCAGCAATTACGAGGCTCCACCAGAAGAGCCGGCGACGGAGCGCCAGCGGCGTCGGGCGGGCCAGCCGGGTCGCGCGGTCGCCCGCGCCCTGCTGTCGGCTGGGCCGATGCCGGGGCCCAGCGAGCGAGACGTCCCTGGGAGGGGGCACCCAGGGGTGCCAAGCGACACGTCCCGCCCAGATGGAGCCAACGGTCGAGGGTTGCTAAAACGGCGTTCCTCGCCCAAGGTGTCCCCGGCCTTGCGCCCCACTTCGTCGGAGCCCCTGGGGCCCTCTGGGCCTCGTGACGGGGTGCTCCAGAGGCTCGGGGTAGCTCCCTGAAAATCCTGGTGCCACCTCGGGCGGGGGCACCCCTTGCAGCCTCCCAAGAGCAGGTGGGGGTCGGGTGATCCTGCCTCGTCGCCGATGTGTCTGCGACGTGGTGATGGAGAAGATCGCGTTCCGAACCGCGCCGCGTCGCAATCCCCTGGACCCCAGCCGTTCTAATTTCAGCTCGAGGCGGCCCGGAGTCCATGAGGGAGGTCCCTTCCTGCAGGATGAGGGTCAACGATGTGGGGAGACTGGCTCAGGGCAGGAAACACCGACCTTGCATCGGCGATGCGCCGCCGAAGTAGGCCTCCGATAGCGAAGCCGCGCGTTCCTGCGCGGGGCGGGCCGTCAGGTCCCCACCGGCGATGGCATCCCCCCTCTGAGCCTGTTCCCGCCATCGCTCGGACGTCCATTCCCTGTGCTTTTTTGGGTTTCGTGCGTGTTTTTTTCCGCAGGATGATCCAGGATGCTCCTTAGAAATCTCCGCCGAGAAAAAGTGCACACGTCCGAACGATGCCAAGTGTGTCCCCCGTGGCGTTGCTCCTGACACGTGGAGGCGGCCCGGGCTCCGGGGCCATGGGGGTCCCTTCCTCCAGGAGGAGCGGCGCTCCCTTCGGGAGGGGCCAGGGGTCGGGACGCTTCCAGGCCAGATTCAGGGGGTGGAAGCTCCCGCTGGGAGGGGGGTGAGGGGAGGGTCCAGGGGAGCCTCCCCCCGAGGAGCACCAGTGCGCCCCCAGACGGCCCCGGCGGGTCCCCAAGATATCCCCGAGATGCATTTCCAAAAAGGCCAGGGGCCCGAGGGATGGGCGCAGGAGGGGATGAAACTGGACGGAGGAGGATAGGGACGAGGGATGAGGTGGTGGCGGCGGATGAGGAGGTTAGTCATGATAGTGCTGCTGATGATAAAGACGATGCTTGTGCTTCTTGGGCTTGTACCATTCGCAGCACTTGCAAGTGAAACAGTCCTTTGACTATACTCGAAAAACGAAAGCATTAAACGAAGCTGGTGATATCCGTCGATTTAGTCATCCATGTATGAACTGTAATATGCGCGCAGGCGTGCCCATCGCTTGCAAGACAACACTTTCTCGAGGAAACGGATTTGACCAGCAGTAGCCTCAGCCGAGACACAGTGGTTCCAGGAAAAAACTTTAACTCAACATATTTCTCCAAGCCCCTGCTTGGGTCCCAATCTGGATAACCCAGGCTTGCAATTTAATAATATGCTATGTGGTTGTGGCGGTGGTGGTGATGATGATGGGAGCCGTGGGGGGGAGAAGGGGGTAGAAAAAAAAGCTGTGTAGCGGGGGGCGGGAGGCCGAGGTGGAGAATGGGGAGGCTGAGGGACTGAGGCGGAAAGGAAGGAGGGGGAGAGACGGAGAGAGAGGAAATGACATGGATGACAAAGAGGGGAAGGTCGAGGTCCCTTCCTCCTGTTAATGCAATTCCTCCTCCTCCTCCTCCTCCACGCCCCCCCCGTCGGTTGCGACAGGAGGCAGAGTTGCATGAGCTCGGGATGTCTGACTTAGGAGGGCTAGGCGCTCTCTCTTGCACTCGTCGTGGCGAGGTCCGGTCAGACTTCGAGTCCTGGTCACAGCATCTGCGCCCCCCTCTGGCTCACGAGCATTTCTCCCCAGTTCCCATCTCCGCCGCCTGCGCTCCCCCTCCGACCTCCCCTCCTTGCCCTCCTCCTTCTCTCCTCCCTCCCCCCATCTTCCTTCCCTCCTTCCCCTCTCCTTCCTCTTCCTCCGTGTTTTTGTTTGTTTGTTTGTTTTTGTGTTTGTTGCTCTCTCTCTCTCTCCACTCCTTCTATCATCTCTTCTTCTCCATTCTTCCCCCCTCTTCGCTCCTCCTCGTCGCTCCCTCCCCTCCTCGCTCGCTCGCTCGCTCGCTCGCTCCTCCTCCTCCTCCTCATCTTCCTCCTGCCTTCCTCCCAGGCCCTGTGCTCCTACCTGCCCCAGTCCTGCTCCGTGATAAGTAACAGGTGGGTGCACTCGGGTCAAGCGTTGCGCGCGCGACGAGAGATGACGATGACTGTTTCCCCGGGTACTCGTGGCGACACTAGTAGATGTCAACAAGAAAGGGAGCGGGCCCCAAAAGGGGAGCAACAACGAGCGGGAGCCCAAGAGTCGAACCGAAGGCGCGGGGAAAGAGGCGGCAGGGACGGAACCAGGGAATTGGCCTGGAGACTCTGGCAAACAAAGTCTGAGATCAGCAAGGATAGCGCCCCTCATGGAAATATGAAGGTGGGTCTGGAGAAACATGATCCCCGACTCCAGGCGGTCTGAACGACCGCCCAACCCACGCCCAAGAGGGCCCCGAAAGGGACCAACAGGGCCCCGAGAGGCCCCCAAGACGACCCAAGAGGGCCCCGAGTCGCCGAAAGATCGCCCCAAAACGCCCAAGATGGCATCACGACGGCCCACGAAGCTTCCAAAACGCCACCAACGGCGTCCAAGAGGGCTACCACAGGCAAAACGGTGGATTTTCTCTAGGTCTTCGCAAGATTTGGGCGTTGTCGCCGTGTCGGATTCCCGACGTCCCAAAACGGCTTAACAGAGGCCGCAAAAATCGTTCCACGATGACCATAGAAGCCTTCTAAAGGGCTCCGTAACGGCCCCACATGGCCAAAACACGGCTCGAGAGGCCTTCCGACCGGCCCAAGGATGCCCTTATAACGGCTCCGAAAGGGGGCCCAGAAAGGGGGCCCCGAACGGACATTTGGAACCCCCAACCCCAGAAAAACCCCAGGAGGCCCCAAGAGACCCCCACAGGAACCCCAAAAGGGCTCCAAGAGGCCCCCACAGCCTCAAAACTGCTCCCTTGAGGCACCCGGGGATGCCCCTAAGATGCCGAAGGAACATTCGCGAGAAGGCCATTCGACACCATCATGCGTAAGACAACGCGTATGTTCGAGCATTAGTTTCTACCTGGGTGACACAGGCATATACAAACCTATGAACATGCGCCTGCACGTGGCGACACGCACATTGCACAGCCATCTCTTCAATGTATCACAGCGTGAACTCGTTGACCATGCTCCGATCCACGGCCCTCGTCACAACGGTCGTCTCCAGCTACTTCGAAGGCGGGCACATTCGGTGACGACTTCGATGCGTATTCCGCGCCGCCGGCGCAAGCCCCACACGAAAGACGACGCACCGAGGAACGAGAGACTGCGTGACCAGGGCGCTGGAAAATATAATGAAGCGCGGACAGAGAAACCAAATCAACAAGTACGCCACCAAACACGGCTACAGGCCAGGACCGTGAAAACCACCACCAACATGTGTCGATTGCCGACGTGAGCGCCGCAGGCCCCATGATGACGAATTGCGTGCCCATTGGGAGGGCGTAGAGCAGGACGAGGAGACGAACCCAAACCAGGACCAGGAACATGAATGTGATGACGACGGACAAAACAGGGTCTAGGATGACGCCCCCGATCCCCGTCGTGTAGGGGGAGGAGGATAATGCAACACATCACCAGCAAGGCATTCACGACCAGGTTCACGATTCGAAGCCCACGATATACGCCAGCCTCGAGAAGGCGCACATTATCGCATTGCGTTCTCGACGCCTTAGCGGAAGGCCGAGCTGCGCAGCAGCCGCCGCCGCTGCTGCCCACGAATCCTTCGCGCAAGGACCGTGCCAAGGATCGCCTCCATCCGAAATCCTCCAACTGGAGTGCCCGCGACGTCGGTCGTGAGAATCATCGGGGCCAGCGCCGGCATCTGGGGAGCCTTGTGGACCGTTGCCATCGGATGCGCAAGGCGGAGCAGGAGTGGCAGCCCTCCTTGCAGAAAACCATGAACCAATTTCACCCACGTTGGCGCTAGCATGCCGATGCCCGCAATTCACCGTCGCGCACGGCAGGTAGAGCCCGATGATGGCGTCAAGCTAGGCGACGGTGACTTCGCGCGCCGCGTTGGCGATGAGCGGCTCGTTGTGAGCGATGAGCAGCTTGATCTTGTTCTGGCCAGTGGCAGAGGCGGAGGGCGCAAACACTGGCACGCGCAAGCGTGCCAGCAGCAACGTGCCTGTGCGCCCACGCAATCCGAGGCAGGACCACCATCCGCCAACCACCCGCGGACCCTGCAGGTGCGATGAGGAAGCCAATGAAACAAACAAGTACCTGGACCAACGTGGCTTGAGCCAGGAAGGGGCTACGGACGGTGATGCTGCTGATGCTGCTGATGAGGGTGATGGTGATGCTGCTGCTGCAGTGGACGCGTCTGCCGGATGTAATCTCCTGTGCGAGAAACGCGCGCAGGCGATCCACTGCCGGGGCGACCAGCGCCCGGCGCAGGCGCGGAGGAGACGAGCGCCGCAGTGGCTCGGCCCGGAAGGACGGCAATCCGTTGCCGCCAATCGCGGAGCGGCGACCGTGCGCAACCCATGCCGCGGAGATGGTTCTGGTGCCCAGTGGGGCCTGCTAGTTGCTGCAGCAGACGCGTCAGCTGCGGCCCGCGCTGCCCGCCGAATGCTAATTCAAGGCCCCGCGCGCCGATGCCGCCTCGAGCTCCATATTCCTTTACTTTCGCAGCAACGGCAGCGGGCGCGTCAGCGCCAGCGGTCGCCGAATGTCCGGCGGTTGCGCGTGCTGACGTGGAGTGCTGGGAGCGAGCAGTGGCCCTAGAGCTTGATGTCCACGCGCGGCTCGCACGTGGTTGAAGCGGTGGCGAGCTCTGGAAGGGCGACCTCGCGTGCGGCTGAACGGCTGGCCGTGCGAGCGCACGCTGCGAGCTCGTTGCAGATTTCATCGTGGAGACGTTTGTGGGCTCCACCGATCATGCAAGAGATCGCGCGATATCCATGCTCGTCGAGTGCGCGGCCGCAGACGCTTCCAGTGCGCGCGAGGTGCTGGCCGAAGCGTGCAAGGCTGCTTCGGGGCAGCTGCCGGAGACGCCGGCGGAAATTGACGGGGGGCCACGTCCCCGGCGGCGTTGGCTGTTAATCCAAGCCCGCCTTCCGGACCAGCTCTGGACAGCCAGTGCTTCCGCTGCTCGGGCGCCCCATGCAATTGGCGCGGCGCTGGCCGCTCGGAATGTCCATGGTTTACGACGGTGCTGCGGCGCTACGCCTGCAGCTGCCGCGTGCTCGAGCGAAAATACGCGGGTGCATGTTTGCGCGCCAGGCTGCGGCGTTCCCCGCGCGTCGAGGGGCGCCCCGCTCGCCGCTAACCGGCCATGACAGTCCCTGGCAGCGGCGAACATGCCGGAGCGCTCGTGCCCTGCGTCGATTGCAACTGGCTACAAATGGAGGGCAAGCTGCCGAGAGGCTTTCGGCATCGCGCGGAGGAGCGTGGCGATAAACGAAAAATGAGCCTCAAGAGACATGGGTCGAACCGCCGTGCCTCCATGGCTGAGGGGTGCAGTCGCAGTGCTGAGACGGGCCTGCCACTGCGGGTCCGCGCAAGCAGGCCTCAAGCAAGATGCCCAGACAGCGTCGCTGACCGCGTTGCCCAGGCGACGCGCGCGCGGCAGGAAAGCTGCGCGCTTCGCGGCGCAGGCGTCGCAGGACAGAGCGCGGTTCAAGACCGAACAAGCAAGCTTCCAGAGAGGGCCCCATTTGCGGCGAGTGAGCTCCGCGTGCGCAACTCGCTTTATTTAAGCTCGAAGCGAATGCGATCGCTCGCTCGCGCCGCATTTGCACCGGGCCGAGGGTGGCCTCTTGAAAACAAATGTTAGCCAGCGTAAGCCCCAAGCAGTGAACTCTTGCAATCTACGGGGTGCAATCTATGTGCAGTCTATGCGGTGCGACCTGTGAGGTCGATGCATGGGGCGCGGCGACGGCGGCGGTTGGCGACGGGCGGCGCGGGCGGGGATGGCGACGGCGGGCGGCGACTGCGACGGGCGGCGACGGGCGGCGCGGGCGCGACAGGCGGGGGTGGCGGCGGCGGGCGGCGACGGCGACGGGCGGCGCGGCGGCGACTGCGGGGGGGGTCCCGACGGGACGGGCGATGGGCGGCGATGGGCAGGGATGGCGGTGACGGGCGGCTACGGACGGCGACGGGCGGCGCGGCGGCGATTCTGCGGCGCTCGCCCCGAGGTCACGGTGACGGGCGGCGATGGCAGCGATCGGCGACGGCGACGGGCGGCGACGCGCGGCGTGGGTCGCGACCGGCGGGGGCGGCGCGACGGGCGGCGACGGCGGCGGGCGGCGCGGGTGCGATTTTGCGGGGGGGGGGGGGGGGCAAGATGGTAAACGGACATAAGAAACCCCAAAGTGCCAAGCACCTGCTTGGGGAGAATGCGCGCTGCGCTCGTCCTCGGCGCGGGCTCCAAGAAGAATAATGACGAGCGCGTCGAAGTCTGCGTGCGGGCGCAGCTCGGCCGCGAGCTCGCCTGCGAAGGCTGGGTCACAACGGGCAGATTGCGCGCGGGCTGTGGTCTTGTTGATGCGCGCGGCATCAGCCCCCGCGCCGCAGAGCACTGCTTCGTGACTCGTGTCGCTTGCGCCCAGTGATCGCGCGGAACTTCGTCGCAGACGTCGTCGACGGGGAGGCGGAGGCGTGGGCGAGAGGACTCAACTGCGAACGCCTTGGAATAGGCCTCAGAGATGTCGCGCATGCTGGCCGAGTATGCGCGGCCGAAATCCGAGGTTGCGCTGCCCACCCCACCACCAGGGCGCGTCGCAGCTGCTGGGCCACCCCGAACCACGCGTTGAGGTTGAGCCCGTTGTGGGCCCTGCGCGGGCGGGCCGCCGTGTCCACCTGGGCCTGGGCGATGAGGGTTGTCGCGCCGCTCTCTGCGCCGAGCTCGTGCTGGTTGCTGCCGACGCGCGCGGAGCCCCCCGCGGAGCTCCGCGCGGCTGATGGCGCCCGCGGCGAGTTTGAACGGGACCTCCTGGAAGACGACGAGGCGCGCTTTGCCCCCGCCCTTAGTCCGAGGCAACGAGCTGCGCGCGGGGCTAGGGCTGCTGGGTGAAGGCCAGCAGCTGCCAGCAAGTCCACGTCGATGCCCGCCTCGAAAATGCCCGCGTCGCGCGCGGGCTCCCGGGGAGCGCCTGGCCGTGGGAATTGCGACCCCCGCCGGGCGTGGCGTGCGCTGGTGCGCGGGCGCTCCAGATGGAAGCGCGGACCTGCTTGCGCGCGATCGGGCTGCGCGTGGGCGCCGGCGGGGATGGCGGTCGCGTGGCGCGAGCCTCGACAGAGGCAGGCGGCAGCAGAGCGGTCGGCTTGTCGTGCGTCGCCCCCGTCGGCGGCAGGTGCTTCGCCCCCGTCAGCGGGCGCTTTGCCTTTCGGGGGTCGCCTATGTCGGCGGCTTCCAACGCGCGAGTCCACGTGGGCGTAAAGTCCTGCTGGGTGGCTGGCTCCCCGCCCGCGCGCAGGCCCACCAGCGCTCGTCGTCCTGGGCGGTGTCAGTGACGAGATCAAGCCGCTGAGCAGTGCTGGCGGATAGCATTCTGGCGCGGGGAACGCGGGCGAAACTCTGCCAGGGCTGGCCCGTCTCCCCGCCGGCCTCGTCGGGGTCTGGCCGCGCCGCGGCGCGATCGCCAGGCTCGGGGAAAGCGCTCGCGAAGGAGGAGGCGCGGCGCCGTGGGCGCCAGGATGTTGAGCTCCTCCTGCGCCGGCGGCGGGAGGTCGGGGCCCGGCGGCGGCGCCCGCCTCGCCAGCGGCGCGCGGCGAACGACCGGGAGCTGTCGAAACGCCAGCAATAATGCGCTTACTCGCCCACTCGCTCCATCTGCTGCCGCCCGAGGCGGACTGGCGGGAGGTGCCTGCAGGGGCGGCTCTTTCAGGGGTGGGTCCACAGCTGCTGCCAGTGCCGCGCTCTGCTGCTGCTGCTGCTGCTGCTGCTGCTGCTGCTGCTGCTGCTGCCGCTGCAGGGGGGCGCAGTGCCTGCAGGCGACCGTGGGGCAGGGGGGGCGCCGGTAGATCCACTCCCAGTATTCGATGCCGCCCTCGCAATCCACGCGCTAGAAAGACTCGTCTCTCTTAGCCTGGCCACCTGCCCGTGGCTGCTGGCGTTGAGTGCGTGGCGCGTGGCGTCGCACGTCGCCGCCGCTTGCTGGGCGAGGCCTCCGCGTCGACGGCCGAGGCCGGGGCCGCCAGCGCGCGGCCTAATGAATGGCGCATTCTGGTTGGCCGAATTGGTCTCCGCCGGCGGCGTCGGGCAGTCGTCGGAAATCTGCTCGGGATCTGGGCGCCGAGCCTCGCCGACGCGAGCGCCGCGCCACGGGCCCCGCATATCTGCATTCGCGCGGCGGCAGCGCCGTCCGCGGCAGCTGCAGCAAGCCGGCTACAAGTCGGCAGCCGCGCCTGCAGCAGCTTCTGCTGCCTGCTCGCCCAGGCTGGCTGCTGACGCCAGCGGCAGCGCGCGCTGACCTGGCGGGAAGGTCCCAACCTCTGCGACATTCGCGATCCCAGGGGCGAGATCTCCCACCGGCCTCCTCCCTCCTCGTCCTCCTTGGCGGAGCGGGCTGCGAAGGTTCCGCGCCGGCCCGAACCCTTTTCGCGGCGCGCTGCGGGCGGCGTCCAGGCCCGTCGCCGGCGGTGTCGGGGCCTGCGGGCGCGGGGGGCACCAGCGGCGCGGCCCGCAGCTGCTGCGCGAGGCTGTCTGCTCCTCTCCAAGCAGCGGCGGCGGCGACAGCCGCAAATGCACCATCGAGTCCCGCGACTCCAGCGTCGGCGGCCAGGTGCGCCGCCGCGCCTGCAACGGCAACGTGCGCCTGCACCGCGTCGACCGCCTGCTCCGCGGCCTGTGCCTCGTAGATGGCCTGGGCAGCGCGGGCGTCCCCTTCCTCGGCAGCCCGAAGAGCCTCCTCGGCCGCAGTCCGAGCCGCCGCTGCGGCCTCCTGGGCGCGCCGCGCCGCTTCGGCGCGGGTGCGCCGCGAGTCCAAGGCGGAGTGCAGCCGGCGCTCGAGAGGCCGGGCAACACGCGCCGCCTCCTGCAGCTCGGCCGCCGTGGACTCGAGCCGAGCCACCTCTGCCGCCCACTCGGGGAAAAAGGCGGAGGGCAGCGACGCGGGCCTTGATACCGACAAGGCCCTCTTGGGCGGGAGTGGCCGCCTGGGGAAGGGCATCGGCCGCGGCTGCCTGTGGGGCCGGAGGTTGCGGCGGCGCAGCCGCCGCGGTGGTCGCGGGTGGGCGCGAGCCCGCCCCGGCCACAAGCCCTGTCCATGGCGCCGACGTCGGCGGGCCCGCTGGCGCTGTGCTCGTGCGCACTCGCACCGAAGGCTCTGCCCGCGGCGCCTGCCGGCCACATCTTTGGCAAGAGGTGCGCCAGCTGATCTTGTCGACAGTCCCGCATGTGCGGCTCCAGGGTGCCTTGCGGGCCCCCTTGGGCTCGCCAGCCGCGCCACCGCGCTGCCCAGGCGGCTGCCGCGCCTGCGAGCGCGGGGGCCGCGCCGCTCCAGCAGGACGACTCGCCTGCTTACACGCCTCCGCCAACTGCTCCAGCTGCCGCTGGATGGAGCCCCATGGCGGTTGCGCGTGATCCCCACGCCCGCCGCCACGGCCGCCCGGGATCGGCACCAGCCACGCGCGCGGATTACCCTACGCGCTGGGCCGGGAATCGGAATATGCCTGACTAAAGCTTGACACCTGCTGCTTGAGCCCCTGCTGCTGCTGCTGCCGATGCGCAGCAGGAGCAGGAGTAGGACGAGGGCGATGTGGAAGAGGAGGGGGAGGAGGAGGATCACAAGCTCTCCGAACGCCCCTGCGACTGCCGTGTAGCCGACCAACGTCACCGCTCACGGGGCCCCGAGCCAACGAGTCAGTCGCGCTCTCGGGCTCAGGAAGGCGTCGCGAGCGAGGAGAGCTATGGCAGAAGTCTGCACGCCGCAGGGGGACGCCAACTGCCCACCCGCAGTGCACCGATCCGCCATCGTGCACTCGGCACGTTGAGACGTGCTACAATGCTCCTCTGCTGTCTCGTTCTAGGGCCCCTCCCCGCGACAACCCTTCGACCCCTACGTACCCTAAATCCCACCAGCCCTCTGGGCGTCGGTGGTTTAACGAGTTTCCTCTTCCACCCCTCCCTCTTCCCCTTCGGGGAGGGGTTTACCCCTCCCCCTACCCCCTCCCCACTGACCTGGACAGGGGGTTCCGCGGCGCGTTGGAGCGCCCAAGATACCCTCCAAGATGGCTCAAGATAGCGCAAGATGCCTCAAGATGGTCCCCATGATGTTCCAAGACGTTCCAAGAACTCTCCAAGACGGTTCCAAGTGCCCACAAGAGCATCATTAGGATGCATCCAAGAAGCCAAAATGCTTCAAAACCATTGGGAAAATCAATGTTTTTGGTGTTCTCACTTTTCGCTTGCGATGCACATCCGAGGCGTCAAGATGGCTCCAAGATGGCTCAAGATAGCTCCAAGAAGGGCCCAAGAAAGCCCCATGACGGCGCCAAGAGCGCCGAAGAGTGCTCCAAGAGCGGTCCCAGAGCGGTACAGGAGACGATTTTTGGAGTTCCTGGGGGGGGGCTCTAATTAAGGAACCCTACTTCCTTGACCGATGTCCTCCAAGATTGCCCCAAGAGCGCCCCAGCAGGGCCTTCAAGGGCGCCCAGACGGGTCCAAGAGGAGCCCAAGCCTCCCAAAATAGCTTCCCAAGAAGTCCCCAAGAAACCTCAAGAGTCTGCCTCACGCCATTGAGAAGTCCCACCAGCCCTCTGGGCGTCGGTGGTTTAGAGCGTTTCCTCTTCCACCCCTCCTTCTTCCCCTTCGGGGAGGGGTTTACCCCTCCCCCTACCCCCTCCCCACTGACCTGGACAGGGGGGGCCGCGGGTAGTTAGAGCGTCCAAGATCGACCCCTGGGAAGGCTAAAATTCGACACCCCTCACGAGGATCGTGGCTCCTGAGGGGGGGGCTGTAATTAGGGAACCCCCCTTCGTTGATCGATCTCCTCCAATATTGTTCCAAAAGACGTCTTGGACCCCCTCTTGGGCTCTGCGCGCGGGCGGGCGGAGCGTCGCCCGCCTGCCCGCAAGGCCCAAGAGCCCACCAAACGTTCGAAGACACTTCCAATACGCCACCAGGGAGGAGGAAGAGGCGGAGGAGGAGGAGGAGGAGGAGGAGGAGGAGGAGGAGGACGAGGAGGACGAGGAGGAGGAGGAGGAGGAGGAGGAGGAGGAGGAGGAGGAGGAGGAGGAGGAGGAGGAGGAGGAGGAGGAGAGGAGGAGGAGGAGAAGGCGGAGGAGAAGGAGGAAGAGGGTAGGAGAACAGCTGCCGATCATCGGCGCTCTTCGTTCGAGTGCCTGGTGTAGGATGGGCTGGTGGGGATACGCGAAGCGTCAAGAATTTTCCCTCCAGCGCTCTTCTAGGCTTCTAGACGTCTCCAAGACAACTGAGAGGATTCATGATGGTCTCAAGATGCCTCCGAGCTGCCTGAGATGCTTCGAAGGCAGCCTCAGATCGCCACAAGCCGACCCACGAGACCTACGATACAGCCCAAGAGGGCTCCAAGAGGCCCTCTAGGCGGGCTGAAGGAGCAGCACCATTGCACATGTGTTTCTTTCATCGACCTCACAGGGCGTCAGATCGGTTACGAGATTTTGAAGACGGCCCAACATGTTCCCGATGCAGCCCATGAGGGCTCCAAGATCCAAGAGGCCCTCCGGGAGGCCCGAAGAAGCCCAAATCATTGCTCCATGTGAATTGCCACCTGTTTTTGGCGTTCTACGTCTTCGGCTTCGAACTGACAGCTCAAGACGGCTCCAGAGGCATCCAAGACGGCCCAAGAGGCCTTCAAAAGGCTCCAAACACGGCCCAGGAGGCCTTCAAGAAGGCCCCAAGCGGACCCCAAGATGCCCCAAAGAGGCCCTCCAGGAGACCTCGGAGAGGCCCCCAAGAGTCGAGGGAACGCGGTCGAACCCAAGCATCACGCGAGCTCAGACCGAGCGCTGAGTTGCAGTGGGTCTTCAACGCAACCTCCTTCACGCTGCGCTGCTGCGCTTCCACGGTGGCGGGGTTTGCCGCAGGTCATCTGGATACTCTAGCGAATCGAGAGCGTGCGCACTTTTTTTGTTGTCGTTTACCCACGCCCGGTGGCTGCTTCTCGGCCCGAGGCCGCCAACAACAAACGACGGGGGACGAGAAGCCAACCCCGGGGAGGGGGTCGAGACCTCTGGCGAGCTGATGCGTGCACTCCGAACCTCTTTCCTCCGTCGGCCTGCCCTGGGCAATCCCAGGCCTACACATTGGTAGAGGCGTCGCCCAGGCCAAGCCAAGAGAGGGGGACAACGACATCCATGGCGTGCCTCTTGGCGACTTCGGCCTTGTCTTCTGACACCGTGTAGAGATCGCCGCCTCCCGATAACGCGGATCGTCCGATATCGGTCGACGCTGGGCCGCTTGGGGCAATAAACCTTGAACGCCCGCGCTGGGGCCACCTCCGCGTCGAAGCTACCGTGCATGGGCCCCCTCCCTTGACGCCCCTCCGTGCGGATGCAGGATCAATCACCATCGAATCGGGAAGTCGGATCGAATCGAAATACGCGTCGAACCGGGCTGCATTGGCACGGAATCGAATCGGATCGGCCGCGCCAAGAAACACAACAAAGATATGCACACATCGGGCCGCGTCGGACCGTCGGCATTAATTACGGATTCGAATCGGATCGGGCCGGCCGGCATCGACATCGAATCGGATCGAAATGGGCACCAGGATGTGACAACGTGCGGGGACGTTTTGTTGTTCGATTTGCCCTGCCTGTTTTTTCTTGCACCCCCCTCCCAAAACGAAAAACAGAAGCACAGCCGAAGCCCAGCAACACAGCGTCCAAGTCCAGCCCTGGCCTGGCCGCGATCGGCGCCCTGGGGTGGGGGGGGGAGGACAGTTGGCGTCCCCCGACACCTGCCTAGCACTCGGCGGCGCGCCTCGGGGGGGGGGAAGGCAGAGAGGGCGGGCCTTCTCTCGGAAGGCTCAGAAGGCCTCCGGTCAGAAGGTCAGAGGAAGAGGAAGGAGGAGGGAGGAGGAGGAGGAGGAGGAGGAGGAGGAGGAGTAGGAGGGGGGAGAGGAGGAGGAGAGGAGGAGGAGGAGGAGGAGGAGCCTCAGCAACCTCCATGCAGGGGGTCTTGTTAGAAGGCCAGAGGGGGGGGCTTCTCAGAGGGCCAGAGGTCCGGCCTCTGGCATGCGGAGGAGCTCCCCGAGCCGCATCCGAAGCCGCAAGGGGGGGTCCCCTTAAGAAGGCCACAGAGGGCTTCTGGGAAGCCCTGCCTCCCTCTGTAGAGGCCTGCCCACACGGGGCCCGAGCAGGTGGGTTCGGAGGATCGGCTCCGCATCTCCAATGCATCGGCGATGCGTCGGCGACGTCGGCGATGCATCGGCGCCGGCGTTGTGACGAACATCAGGCCCCACATCGGCCCGCATCTTCGACGCATCGGCTGTGCGGCGCGCCCTTCCGACCCCATCTGCTCTGACCCCACCTGGGAGGCCTGAATTCTGAGAAGGCCTGCCCCGCTCACCTCCTCGGGCCCGCCGCCGAACCGCACTGACTGAATTCGGAGGGGCAGGAGGCGAAGGCTGCACCGGATCTGGGGCACCTGGTTGCCCCACGGTGGAAGCGCCGTCGCGGGGGCGTCAGCAGGTCGCGCGGGGGCACCGACGCATGTACGTCTTCTTCTTCTTGTCCTCCTCCTCCTCCTCCTTCCTCGTCTTCTCATTATTATTATTCTTCTTCTTCCTCTTCTTCTTCTTCTTCTTCTTCTCTCTCTCTCTCCCTGGTCCTGCCCACCGCACATCTCTGGGCTCCACCCCCCAGGAGCCCTGCCCCAATCGCTGCTCAACCTGCTGATGTTCACGCCCTCCCCCTCCGCCTCCGCTCGGCTGAGGTCTTGCCCCTCCACCTGCGCAATGGTCATCTGCCTTCTCCGCTTCTCCTCCTCCCGCTCCTCCTGTCCACACCTCTCCGTCCCTTTTCTTTTCAGACGTCTGACTCGTCATCATCGGTAAGGCGGACTGGGTCGGTAGCCTGAAACGTCCGCACAAAGAATTTCGCCATCATGTAGCCAATTATGAAACAGGCGCATGGATAGAGGGTGGCATGTTTTCAGAATGGCACCCTCGGATGCGAATCTCAGTGACTACGCGTTGGAGTATAGAGGGCGACAGGTCTTCAAGATCGAGCTCTCGCTTGACACACACACACACACACACGCACGCAAACGCACACGCGCGCGCACACGCACACGCACACGCGCACGCGCCCGCGCCCGCGCACGCGCACGCGCACGCGGACGCAGAGCAGACGCAGGCGCAGACGCAGATGCAGACGCAAGCGCAAACGCACGCGCACGCGCACGCACACGCACACGCACACGCGCACACGCGCACACGCGCGCACACGCGCACACGCGCACACGCGCGAACGCGCACACGCGCACACGCGCACACGCGCGAACGCGCACACGCGCACACGCGCACACGCGCACACGCACACGCACACCCGCACACCCGCACACCCGCACACCCGCACACCCGCACACCCGCACACCCGCACACCCGCACACCCGCACAC